GGATAACATATTTGTGAAGAGAGAATGGAAAATTCTCTTGAATATTATGTCATGGATGTGATCCGTAACTTCAGCTCCCATGGAGAGATTCACTGAAGTTGTGAACGTATACTGTCTGGATTATCCTGGAGCGCATTTTGAGACTTTTTCTCAACAGGAAATGCTAACATGGCTTGGAGCAATCTGAAGAGACCTACAATTCTCAAATTTCTGCAGTTAAATGTGAATTATTCTCATTATTTTTGTGACACTACTGAATCCTTAGTCCAGCGTGGACTGGAGAAACACTGGTTATACAAGCTGTTCACATTCCAACTAGCATAATAGGCTGTCATCAGTGGAACAGTAATTTCACATCTCAAAGGTAGAGGTAAACATGAGTGGGAATGAGTCTTTCTGAAACTGTTGATAACTGCAAAATTGCCTGTTCTGTTCTCTCCTGACACCAGTAATTTCCACAGGGAGCTCATAACTTTGGCCCCCTCTCCATCCATAAATCTGGAAGAAAGTAATAACTTTAATGTTTTAACAGAGACAACATAAAATGTTCCTCTCTAAATTACAAGTGCTCTTAAACCAATTGCTTGAGGCAAATGTCCTTGCATCAACAAGTCAGTGAAAGTTGCTTGAGAGCCTGTGTGATTGATAACTGCAAACACCTGTATTAAAGGGATGCTCTTGTGAGTTATGAGAAGCAGTGAAGCAGAAACCAATCTGTTCACTTTCGAGTCTTTGACAACATAATTGCATCTTACTTGCTGATATTTTAATCATAGTACTAGAGAACACCCAGTAAAACCAAAAGCAAAGAATCCGGAAAACGTGTGTGCCCATCTTTCCATCTGTAATGGAAAACGCGTGTGTATTTATTTTTTCTAAGTGAAAAGTGCAGTGATCTAGAGAATGTAAAGTAGGTAATTATAAATTTCACTTCCATCTTATTTTAAAGTTGGTTACCTTGGTACTTTTTTTTTTAATTTTTGAGACTGTAATTTAATACATTTCTCTCTCCCCTTTCCTCCCTCCAGCCCATCCTATATATCTTTCTTCACTCTTCTTCAAATACATGGCCTCTTTTTCACTGTCATTACACACACATATGTATTTTTATATACATGTATTCCTAAATATAATCTATTGAGTTCCATGTACGTATGTTTTCAGAGCTGACTGTTTGGCACTGAACTACCAATGTTGAGCTCTTCCCTGGGGAGGAACAACTCCCCTACTTCCAGCCTTAATTGGTTGCCTGTAGTTCTTTGTGCAAGGATGAGGCTGTGAGCTTTCCCTCACCCAGCTATGCACATTCACTGGTGTCAGCCTTGTTCAGCTCACAATTAGGTAATCACGTTAAGCAACAGCTCTCTACCTGAAGTTAAGACCTGGTCACCAAGAGGAATACTATATCCCTGGCACTGGAAACCTAGCCAAATACCCAGAGCCAGTGAAGACTTGGATCTTAGAGGAGAATCTACACATAGACAACCACTAATTTACTAAACCCACAGAATTCCTAACAATGATCTATAAGTATATATCCGTATGCCCAAAAAAGTGTAGTCTTCACTACTGATCAATGAAATAAATGGTTTTTGTTTTTGTTTTTGTTTTTGTTTTTGTTTTTGTTTTGCGGTGGTCCAAGACAACTACAGAAAACCATAAATAATCAGAATGAAGAGTTGTGGAGCCCAGTCCCAATGGACACATCTACAAGACACCCCTGCAGTGAAGGTTCAGGGGACATTGAAGAAAAGGGGGAGAAAGACTGTAAGACCCAGAGAATCAAGGAATTTGATGTGAGATTGTGTCTTCTAGGAATATCAGAAGTAATCTGTAGCTAAAAGTTCTCCTGTGCCTGCCCAGCTCCCACAGCCATGTGGAAAAAAAGGAAAAATTTTAGTAGAAAAAAATCTTAAATGAGAGAGTACTTCTTAGCCAATTTCCTTATGTAGGACTTTAAATTAAATGTAACACAAGTCATTTTTAAATGGTTTAATATTTATATCATTCTTAAAATCTTGATATTTTCAAATAATCTCCATGATATAGTTCCATAATCTGTTCTTTTCTATTAAATAATGGAATGCACTTTAACCTAGCATGTTATGCCACATCCAAACCTACATCCAACTACCTGCAGTTGTAAATTACATGAGTTAATGAAAACAGGGCCCTGAGGATTGAGGTGCATAAATAGTATGTTTATTCTAAAATGAAAGTAAGCACTGTTTTATACACTCAAAGTATTTTTACCAGTAGCCTTTGAAATATTTAGACAGGTGGCTAGGTATAATTTTGGTCTGTTGAACAGATGTGTATCTATACTTAACAGATCATAAAATCCTAAAGGTTAATAGAGGTATAAGAGGTGTGACCATGAGTAAGACTTGGTATGAGTTCGTAGTATAATTTAACTACGAAGTTTACATACTATAGTGAGAATCATGTGGATGAAATCATTTCCTTCCCTCTAAAAAGATGCTTAAGGGGTGCTGTCTCCCCTGGATACAATGAGGGAGAACCCTGTACCAGATACTTTTCAGTTGTAATTAAAACAAGAGGCAGTATCAAGGTAAAGTTTAGAAGGCAATTCCCAATATATCAAAATAAAAACAAAAAAAAAATCTAGGAACACCAAGCATTTGTTAAATTCATTTAAATCACCATTCCAAATAATATGGTGTTTAAAATGAATTCAGTATAATAGATAGTATAGTTGATTATGAAAATTATAATTTTTGTATGGAGTATTTGTATATGTGTTCAAATGTGTGCATATTGCACATGGAGGGCAGAATTCTACATTTCTCAATCAGTTTCCACTGTAGTTTTGAGACTAGGTCTCTCAATGAATTCAGACCTCTATGATTCATAGAAATTAACTGACCATTCATCCCAAAGGATCCCTTCCTCTCAACACCCTGCATTCATAAGGGTGTTGTACATTCAACCTCAGATCCTCCTGCTTTAATTTACCAATGTAGCCATCTCTTTGGACCCATTATTTATTTTAAATAACATCTCATGAAAGGAATACCAATACTTAAATGCTACAGTGGCCATACTGACATTATTGACATGCAAAATTAAAATATTTTGAATATGAGTTTGTTCAAAATTAGGTTTGTACATCACTAAAATAAACTAGAATGCAATTAGATAACTTTATACTAAATAGACAAACTTTTATATTATAGCAATTATTTGGAAAGTCTAGCTTTTATATAAATAAATAACTATTGTTGAGAGAAGTACTGTCTGAACACAAGAAAGAGAAAGATGAAGCTCAAGATGCTTTGTTTTACTAAATGAATTAACAT